AGTGAGCTCTAAACCAGGGCCCCAAGCTAGGACTGACGCGGCCAGATGGGTCCGTCGGTGGTCAGCAGTGCACCCCGCCAGTGCAAGGCGGCAGCACAGGGGATGGCAGTACAGGGGAGACGCGGCAGGGAGGCGAGGGGCGTATGGGGTCTCCCCGAGGGACCTGCGCATTCTTTTCCAGAGCTGTAACCACCCAAAAGACAAAGACTATTCATTTTTTTAAAGGCTACTAAGGCAGCTTAGACACTTTGTGTACGGACGGAGGATTAAGTAATGGTGTTTCTTGAACACTGCGTCTTATCAACGCTGACTCTGAAAACTGAAAAAGTAAGAGACACAAATAGAACAGAACAGAGCGAGAGACGCCCACGGTTGGCCATGGCTAAGAACCGGAGGACATGGCCAGGCGGGCCCAACCCACGCCCTGCAGCCTGCATGCGGCCCAGGGTGGCCGGGACTGCCGCCCAGCACAAAATCATACATTTGGTTAAAACGCTATGAGATTTTTTTTTTTAGTACATGTCATACTGTATTTAAAGTGTGGCCCAAGACAACTCTTTTTCCAGTGTGGCCCAGAGACACCAAAAGGTTGGACCCCCGTGCTAAGGGAACGCGGTCCTTGGCCCCCGGCTGTCCGGGGGCCAAGCAGGTGGGGACAGACATACGGGTCCTGTGCCTGGTGAAGGGGCGGCTGCTGGTTACCTCTCTGGGGCGAACTTCAGAGGCGTTTGCAGGTGGAAGGCGGGTGGGCTGCGCAACGGAAGGAGAACGGAGTAGAAAGAGCAAATGCCATTAACTCCGGGTTCCAGTGGTCAGAGACAAGTTTCAAAAACTCCGTGTCCAGAGGGGCAGCATGGACTCGTCCATCAATCAGCGAGGGCCAGTTCCCTCTGGGCTCAACAGGTGGGCGGACAGGGCCCCGGGGAGGAGGCGGCACGAGGTTTGAGGTCCGTCCCTGGCTCTCTCCTTTGGAAGGTCAGACGGCAGGGCCCTAGCGCAGCCCAGGCCTTTGACGGGAGAAAAACCAAATCTGACCAGTCCCCAGGATGGGACAGTGAACCTCAGGGGAGTCCAGTCAAATTTCGTCCCCTCCGCCTCCAACCCGACCTGGCTGTCGCCCCCATGGAGAAGGGGCCGAGGGGCCACGCTCCTCCCACTGCAAAGTCAGGGTGGCTGGGAGCGTCGGGGGCCTGACATGTGGTCTAGCACACAGTAGGGACTATTGAAATAAAAAAATCACAGTTAGTGGAAGAGAAAGTTGTTATCTAACATGGAAAACTCACCGATGCCTTGAGATTTGGTATTCCGGTATTACACCTACTCTAAGACGCTGGTTGTATGCCGCACCATTATGGTCCACCCCGTTAATTAAGAAAAAACTAACAACTAAGACGGAGCGTTGACTGGAGACCCCACACCAAGCTAGGGCACCACAGAGCTGTACCGTCAGTACTGGGGCGACAAGGACTGGCCCCGCCTCACAGGAAAGGGGAGCGAGGAAATTCGAGGCCGCCTGTGGCAGTGGGTGAGGGCCAGGAGACAGAACTCCCCCCGAGAACGGGAACCACAGGCCGGGGCTCCTGGAGGTGGGCCGTCTGAGCGGACCCGGCCAGTGTGGTCCAGAGGAAAACAAAACAGAACAACCCACACGGGGAGATGTTGATGTAAGGAAATCTCAGGTGGATGGCGTCCCGGGGGTGGGGGTGGGGAGAAGCCAGCCCACGTCCTCCCTGGAAGAGCCCTACTGAACTAAGACACCCCAATTCGAGAGATGTAGAAATGCAAAAACGCAGGAGCCTTACAACCTATTGGACAAACTAGGGTCAAGTAAGTAAAATGCCACCCTCGGGCCACCCAGCACCCGAACCTGCACCCAGAGGCCACAGCACCCAGTGCTCTCCACGCCTGCGGTCTGGCACACAGGCCCCGCGCCAGCTCGCCTGGGGCCGGCGGAGACACGGGCCCACCTGTCCCCAGCTAACGGTCTGTCTCAGGCAGGCTGGCCCGCTCCCAGGGCCCGGGCAGGAGTCCAGTCGACTCAGGGCCCAGTTGCAACGTGCAAAGCAATTTCACTTCGCGCGTCTAAGCGCTGCAGGCAAACAGCTCGTGGCACTGAGCCGGCAATGTGTAGGCAGCTGCAAGTTTAATAAATCTCAATTATTCTGTTTACACCAACAAGCAGGCTGGAGCCCGTGATGGGGCCGGAGCCTTCAGTGACTCGGTGCACGGGGAGAGAAGAAAAGCGTGCGAAGCCGACGGCTCATAAATAATCAGCTTTGGGGCAGGTCTCCCCCTTCCCTTTCGAATAAAAATAATATATGAAATGTTTTTAAGTTGGCAAGATGACAACCTCTGAAGACGGTGCCTATTTGCTGCCTGTCGGGCCTGCGTGTGCATACGTGCATATACGTGCATGCATGCACACGGGTGCCCACCCCACACACGCACGCACGTACCCCCACCAGGAAAAAGAACACCAGAACCAGGCCAAGGGGAGGCTCCCCCTGCAGGGTGTCACCGATCCCTTTGTTCTCAGGCACAGGAGCAGGGGCGGCGTCTGCAGGAGTCTCCAGGGTCCATATTTCTGTGGCAATGAAGGGCCTACTATGTGCCGGTTGTTACAAGAAATCTGCCCGCCATGAGCTCAGTGGACCCTCCTTCCATCCATCGGGAAGCTGGGACTTGCCAACGACCGTACGCGCTACGGGTGGGTCCCGGATTCCAACACAGAGCACAGCGTGGTGGTTCCCAAAGGCCCGCTGCCTGAGCCCCACCTGGGAACGGCGCTAGGCAGGCAGGTTCTTGGGCCACCCCGGACCTGCTGAATGCAAAGCTCTGGGGGGAGGGCGCAAAATCTGCGCCGAGACCAGCTGTCCTGTACATGAGCCCAAGATGGCTTCTCTAGACTGGCCTTGGGGTGCTTACTTCTTCTTCTTCATAGTGGGCTGAACCCTGTTAGCTCCAGACCCAGCCAGCACCAGACTCAAATATTCACACATCTGATTGTTTGAAACCCAGCCCAAATAAGCAGATGTTTGGGCCATTTAGGGCCCGCTGGCTTCGTGCACCCCACGAAGTGGTGCCCGACACCTGTCGGCCACGAGGAAGCGAAGACCCCCACGCTGCAGCTGCCGCCCTTGGAGGCTTCCTGACCCGGAGCCTCGGCCTGTGCTCTGCAAGACCAGCTGGACGTGGGAGTCCTCTCTCCACCCCCCTGCCCCACCCGGCCAGCATGCACAGACTGCCAGGGCAGGGCTTGGCTTTTATGTCCACTGAGGGATCAGTCTCAGGGGCCTAACACAGCACTTGGGACAAAGTCAGCACACGGCAGATATTTGTGGAATGAATGAATGAATGAACGAACAAATGAATGAGGAGACAGCAGATAAACACGGGGCTGTGAACGCCCCACGCTAACCTGACTGCAGACTGCTGGGAGCGTGAGCTTGCGCTGGAGGGCGGTGGTGAGCCAGCTGAGGGTCCCCCACTCAGAAATACTGAGTGAGCACTTACTATGTGCTAAGTACCGGGGGACCCGGACGTGGGTGCCCATGGACTGCAGCCTGGGAGCTGCATGGGTGAGGGCTCCCAGCCAGGGAGGGGCTTCAAGGGTGAGAGCTAGAGGCAGCCCCAGGTCCCCCGTGTCCCACCAGGCTGGACGGTGTGGGCCAACCCAACCCTTCCTGGTGCTGCTCCCTGTTTCACGAGGAGTCTCTTCGTTATTCTAAATTGGGGAGGGGTGGGGGGCCAGGGTCTTGGGATCTCTAAAGAACTTCCACAGGCGGCAGTTGGCGTGATCTTTAAAACTAGATAACGACGTAAATAGGGTCCACATTAATAGTCCCATTTCACAGGTGGGAAAAGTGAGCCCCAAGAGGCAAAGTGCCTTGTTCCAGACCACAAAGCTGATTGGCACGGGGCCCAGAGCACAACCTTGGTCTCGTGACCGCCTTGCCCCGTCCAGGGGACACCCTCTCTCCCAATCATTCGAGGCATGACCACCATCTGGGGACTGAGAAGAACCCCAGTGTGCAAAGCATCTGGAAACAGACTCCACGGTGAGAGACCTTGAGGAATGCAGCCGCTCGGGAGCAGAGCAGGCTGCAGGCGTGTTTCTCACGGGCAGTGCTTGGCAGGAAAACACGTGTGTTCCCTTGGAAAAGGGGGCCCAGGGGACATGAATCCACACTGGGCTTCTCCAGAAGCGGGGACACCTGCCAGGCCTCAGGGGTGCTTTCTCCAAGGTGTGCGTGAGAGGCTTTGGGGCCAGAGGCCCCAGACCACTCTGGAGCCTTTGCTGAGCAAGTCTTTCCAACTTGTCTCTTCCTGGCTTCCTCACACTTACAACGGAGGTGGTAATGCCCGTGCGTGCAGCCAGGACAGTTAGGTGCAACGCCCTGGCCGCGGCCGGCACAGTGCATGGCCCACAGCGGACGGTCAGCACGCAGCACCCAGAACAACAGCGCTTATCACTCATCAGTACCGCTACTGTTGTTGCTGTGGCCCGCGGGCCCCACGGGAGTGGCTCAGGGTGTGTCCCGGGGGGCCTAAGCGGTGACACCTGGTGGAACAGGAAAGGCACCCTGCCCCGTCCTCACCTGTCCCCCACTGAGCCCTGATACCTGTCTACCACGCAGGGGGCCGCACTGTCCAGTTTGCAAAGGTGCAGGTTTCCTGGGACAGCGCCGGCTCACACCTTTTGTCACGGCATGGCCGTTATGAGCGCCCCTGTTCACGCCTCGCCCGGTGCTGGTTTCGGATGAAAAAGTCTAGGGTCCCCCTCTACCCCGTGCCCGTCACAGCTCGGTACGCTCTGCGCTCCCCTGGGCCTTCCTGGGGCCCAGCATGCAGTGCGGCCCAGGGCTGATCCTGCGTAAACATTCCTCAGACTTCACGGAACCTTCCAGAAAGCCCAGGAGTCCCGCCCCCGCGTCGCAGGCCCACGGGCCCTCCAGACGCCCTGCCCTGCAGCCGTGCGCGGCAGATGGCAGACCCCGTACCTTCTGGAATCCTGTCGGCGGCCCCGGAGAACTCCGTGTCTGTTATTTTAGGGAAGGAGAGGAAGAGGGGGAAAAAAAACAGTTAAGTGAGTGAAACTTAAATCCCAGCAGAGCCTGTAATGGAATATTCATTTTGTCAGGGGAGCGTTTCTTTAAAACTTCTGGTCATCTGGACAGGCTGAGCCAGCAGGTGATTCGGTTTAATGAGCTTTTTAACGCAGTTCAGGCCCAGGTGGGACTCTGTCTGGGAAAGCCCGGGCCGAGGGCACGGCCGCCAGGCTGGGGCTGGGCTGACACCTAGTGGCCGACTTGGACATTGCAGGGCCAGCCCAGGGAGCAGCCGAGACGGGGTTGCTCCCTGCTCACGCTGACCCCCCGACCTCAGTTTCCTCATCACTGCTCAGAGAGTAAGAACAGTACCTCCTTTATAGGCTTCTACGAGGACATAGCACTTCACAAAGGCTCTTATTAGCTATTATGTTTGGTGTGAGGGGACACCGGGGCCCAAAAGGGGGAAAGGGCTCGCTCCAAGTCCCAGCGGGCAGAGGAGGAGGGGACAGGACCCCAGGCTCCGTCTGCCCGCCTCCAGCGGTGCCCCTCCGGGGACCGGAGGCACAACTGCTCAGGCAGAGGGTGGTCATGAGGATGAGGACAGGCCAGGGTGGCACCCAGACGTTGCAGCTTAGAGGCAGCAAAGTGCTCCTCGGACGTTAACTGTGACAGTCCCTGCTGCTGTCACCGGAGCCCCAGCCTCGCAGGGTGGCAGAACGGGGGAGGGACATCTCACCAGCCGGCACCTAGGACCCACAGTCTCTCTCTCCTCTCCCTGAGCGGCCCCCTCCGTCCGGCCTGTGCAGGCACAGGGTGGAGTGGATGCGAGCCCACCCGGGGTTCCCAGGTGAGAGTCCCACCCCCCGGGCCCGGGGCCCGAGAGTCCTTAGTCCTACCAGCAGCTGGCTGCTGTCCTTGAGCTTGGACTTGTAGAGCATCCACCGGTAGCGCAGATCCTCCAGCTCCTCCGAGGCCCCTCTCGCCGGTCCAAGGCGAAGCAGGTTCTCGAAGAGATGCTGACCTTCCGGTACCCGAGCCTCCAGCTCCTGTGGGGCAAAGGCAGTGTCCCATGCACCTTCCAGAGGCCCCGGCAGCCCCACGTGGCAGTGGGGAGGAGCTAATCGAGTTTCCCTGCAGGGTTGCTGAAGGCCGCTATTAAGAATCCCATCCGTGCAAACTCAAGGCAAGGCCAGGCCCTGGCTCTCTGCAGTGTGACAAAGGGGACCCCACAGGACAGGGCCGGCTGCCCCGCTGACCTCCAAGGCCACGTCCAGCTCTGGCGATCTAGACCCGGGTCCCCCAGAGGGCTGGACCTAAGAGGAGCCATTATGACAGCTACCCCTGCTGAACATCTTCCTGCTGACGGGGCTAAGCCTGGCAGAGTGATGCCGGGGCTGGGACTCTTCCACGGAAACACAGCTCTGTGTCCCCCTGGTAGGGGGGACGCCTTTTATCCTCAGGGTCCCTGAGACATGGTGTGACCTGGGGCTTGGAGCAGCCCCCTCCGTCCAGGGGCCAGGGCTCACATTCTGGTTTTGGGTCCTGCTCTGCCCTGTCCGACTGGCTGTGACGAGGTCATGCTGCCTAGCTTCCCACAGCCCCCCGGAACGTGAGCTCTCCAAGGGCGACAGGGTGCACCCAGGGGACTGTAAGCCGTCTCCGAGAGGGCTGGCATCGGCGGGCGGGGGCAGGAGGCGGGAGGAGTGGCTGAGTGGGAGGGAGGAGGGACATCCTGGTCCTGGTCGACCAGGAGACTGGGCCACGCCTCTCACTGAGGATCAAATATTAGAGACGATAAAAGGCATTGGAGATGCAGAACTATGTAGTAAAAAAAAAGAAAGAAAAAAGAAACCAAAGAAAAAGGAACCTGAGGTTTGACTATAAGAAACATAAAATAGCAGGCAGTAAAGAGTTCACAGGAGAGCGAGGCACATTGGGCGAAAAGCAGGGCGAGTGCGAGCCTGGAGGGGCAACCCGGGGTGCGGCCCGCTGTGCCGACAGGACACCGGCCGGTCTGGGAGGGATCGTGGGGGCGGGGGGGGGTGCAGAGCCGCTTTGGCAGCCCCTCGGGGCCCTGGACTCCAAGGTCGAAGTCTGGGCTCTGCGGAGGCTGAGACCGAAAGCCCCTCCCTCCTGGGCTGAGACTCCCCAGTCTCCACAGTTAAGGCCAAAAGTGGTGAGCAACAGTGAGAGGGGGCAGGGGCCAGCCCTGTTGTGGGGGGAGGGGGACCAAGGAGGGCTTGGTGACCCCCTCCAGCTGGGAGTGGGAGAGGGAGGCTGGGGGTGGACAGGCCGGCCCCCTGAGCCCGCCCCCACGGCCGGCCGGGCCTCGGAACCCTGAGTGAGATGCACAGCTGCTGCGTGAGGCCACGGCCGGCCGGGACGGCCTGCCCCACGCCACGGCCCCGCGGCTGAGGGACGTGACGGGGCGAGGAGCGGCGCTGTGCCCCAGCCGGCCGGGGAGTGCGGAAGCACGCTGAGTACACGGACACGCGAGGCACGGCTCCTGCGGAACACCCGCACCAGCACGGTTTTAGAGTCACCGTTCGCACACAGGCCGGGGCTGAGCCCGAGCACGCTCTGTGCTCCTTTCCTGGGAGGACGCTCGGGGGACGAGCGCACAGGGCGGGGGTGGGGGGGGGTCACAGACCTGCAGCCTCATCTCTCTGGTCCTCGCGTCCTTGGCCGAGGCCGACCTCATCGCGATGGTTCTAACCAGCTTGGCGTTTTCCCCCTGCAGCCACTGCGCGAAGTTCCTCAGGAGCTCGGGGTACCCTGCAGGGCCGGGGCCATCGTCTGCGTCCTGCAGGGGGTCTGCCTGCGGGGGGGCACGGGGCGCCCAGAGCGTCAGAGGGAGGACGTGTGTCCCGGGGGTCCCGTCTGAGGCAGAGAGCGGGGGTGAGCGAGGCCTGGGGGCCAAGGAAGGTCTCTGCTCAACGCGGCCATGGTGTCCAGGGCTCAGGGACACTCCTCGAGGTCACCTCCAGGGCCTCCCAGGGCAGCCCTTTGGTGCCTGACCAGGACGGTTGTGATCGTGGTCGCCCTCCTGCCACTCTGTCCCCCTGCGGCTCTGTCTAGCTCGCACGCCCCTGCAGCTGAGCCCTCGCTCAGGCACTGCGGGGCCCCTCCCGCTCCTCCATGCGGCCCGAGGGCCTCGGGCTCTGGCTCTGCCTGACCCCGCAGCTCGTCCTCCGAGCCCGAGCCCACTCTCACGCCGTGGCCCCGCACTGTGCTCTCTCCCCGGGGTCTCCGCACACGCTGTCTCCTCTGCAGCCCCCTCCGCTCCTCTCCTCGCCCCCCACCCCCACTCCCTTTCTCCCTGGAGGGCTCCCCTGCCCCAGAACGGGGTCATGGTCAGGCTGCCGCAGGCTCCCACAGCACACGGCCCCTCTGCCACCGCGGACCGCGCTTCCTGCAAACCCTCACTTCGTTGCCTGCGGGTCCCACCCCTTTGTCTCTGGACCGGTGCTCCGGGTCCCAGCAGCGGGTGGGGCCTTGTGGGAAGGCAGACTCATGGGCCCCACCCAGACCCACTGCATCCGAGTCTGAGTTTTAACATGATCGGGGTGCGCGTTCCGACATGGGAGGCTCTGCGCTGGGCTCTGGGCCCTCGGCTGGCGGAAAGTGCCTCTGTCCCACTCGAGGCTGTATCCAGCCCCACGCTCAGAACACAGCTACCCCCCCCCACCCACGTGCTTTCAGAGGGGCAACGAGAGAATGAGTGGAGAGATGGGGGGCCGTCTTCGAAGACCAAGAAGTGAATTTCTTTCCAATGTGCTTCCCCCGTAAAGGCAGCCAGGGGACAGGAGGGACAATACGATGCACTGAGGCTAGCTGTCTTCACAAAACACAACGTGTGGCACAACAAACACCCATCTCCTGTGGTTCCAGGTTGCAGTCTGGGCCAGCAGAAAGCTTCCAACCCCCACCCCCTCCTCCCTGCAGGGCCGTGCTTCTGAGGGGCGAGGGCCCGTCCGTCCAGGGGATGCCTGGGACCTTCCCCGGGGGCCCGGGCCTGGGGTCTCTGAGTCCCTCTGTCCCGTGGCACAGGGAATGCTGGAGACGCAGCAGGGCGGGCTCAGCTGAGAGAGGGCACTGCCAAGCCCTGAGCTGGGCCTGTGGCCACAGGCGACGGGGGGCGGGGGGGAGGAGTGGTAAGGAGACTCTCGCCCCGCCCCTGATCCCTGGACCCGGGATCGGGCCCCTCCTGGGAGCCCCACCAGACAGACTCACCTGCCGGTGACGCCTGGAAATGGACACGGGATTCGTGGGGGTGATGAGAAACCCGGTCTTCGGGATGTTGTTGGTGAAAACCATCTTCGTCCCCGAGTCCACCTCCGTCCTCTGCAGCTGCCGGTTCCTGATGAGGCTGAGGAGACAGGGTCGGCCCGGTCGACGTGGGGACGGAGTGACGGCGGGGACTCACAGAGGAGTGACAGAAGTCGGGCACGTGGCCGTGGGCGGCTACTGCCCTTCCCAGGTCTGTGCCGGTCCTTCAGGCTTGTCAGAACGTCCCCAAGGCTCATGCACTTCTGGTCTCCCTCCTGAGACCCACACCACAGCCCACGAGGCACAGGTGCCCACTGACGCGGGTGCGGCCGAAGCCCGAGTGGGCTGGAGGCTCCTCGCAGGCCGGGCCCTGTCCTTGCACCCACCACCCCGCTGCCCCGCCTCAGAGTCCCACCCCTCCGTCCCGGGCACACCGAGCTCTCCCCCGCGGGAAGGGCCGTGTCCGAGCAGGCTCCGGGCTGGGTGGGAGGCCGCCTCACCTGCGCAGGCTTTCCTCCTGCAGCCGCAGGGCCCGCCACGACTCTGCCAGCGCCTCCAGCTCCTCCTGGACCACGGCCGCCCCTTCCCGAGAGGACTTTGCCATCACCAGCCGGCCGTGCGCTTCCGTCAGGGCCAGCTGGGCCTCCTTCTCCGGGAACTCCGCCAGCAGCCGCTGAAGGGCACACACACACACACACTCACACTCACACACCCAGTGAGGTCCCGGCGGGGGTGGGGTGGGCTGGGGTTGGGGATGGCCTCTGCCCCCCAGGGTGGGAGCTGTGGCCTGCTTTTGGGAGCGCAGCACCTCTGCAGGGGAAGCCAGCTTACCTCGACTTCGGCCTCGCGGGACTGTGCATCCCACGGGCCGGTGTCCCCCAGGTACGCCTCCAGCTTCTGAGTGACCATGGTGACCCACTGCCACAGCTCCAGCAGCTCGTGGCTGAAGGTGCAGTGCTCCTGCACGCCCCGCTGGCACCGGTCCACGAGGCCCTGCGGCACAGCCCGAGGCCGGGGCGCCCTGAGTGCTGGGGGCGCTGAGACTGGGCCCCCCACCCTGCAGGGCCCCCAGACCTGCCCGGGCCCTGGGCTGTGACGGCCCCCAGGGCTCCCGTCCAGGGCCCCCTGCCCAGCAGGAACAAGAGACACTGGTCCTTCCTTCTGCACGGTGCAAGGAATTCACCCCGGAAAGAAAGATTATGGTGTAAAGTGCCTCTCAGCCTGTCATACTTTCCTGCCCCAGGTCTGAGCAGTCGCTGTCTCATCCACCACTGGTGTGTAAGTTAGTACAACCACTTGTGAAAATAGCACAACAGGTCAGTTTCTCCTAAAATGGAGCATGGGCAGCCCTATGACCCAAGGCTTTCAGCCCTGGGTGCCCACCCAGCAATGCAAGCACGTCCCCCCCAAAGACAGGTGTGTGGCCTTGCCTGCAAGAGCCCCAGACGGGAAACCGCCCAAGCGCCCACCAACAGAAGGATGGACAGATACTCCGAGGCCCTGTCGCCCAGCGGGATACTGTACGGCAGCGAGAAGGAACAGCCTACACAACAGTCCAAGGCAACACCCCGGGTGGGTGGATTCACAACTGTCACGAGAGCCAGAAGCCACGACAAGAGAAAACTGTCTGACTCGGCTTGAATAACCCACACGCTCAGGCAACCCCAGCCTTATACTGTCTCAAGTCCAAGGGCAGGGTCCCCTTCGGCTATCAGGAGTGGTGGGCGGTGACTGCAGGGACCCGGGGGGCTTGTTGGGCAAGGGTTAGGGGGCTGGTAGTAGTATTCTGTGCCATGGCTTGGGTGCTGGTAACACAGACGTGTTAGTTGTGAAAACTGATCACGCTGCATACTTAGAGGGCCATTTTTCTGTACGCGATCGGACTTTGGTGAGTTGGGTTTTTTTTAAGATTTTATTTATTTATTTTTAGAGAGGGAAGGGAGGGAGAAGGAGAGAGAAAGAGAGAGACATCAATGTGCGGTTGCTGGGGGGTGTGGCCTGGAACCCAGGCATGTGCCCTGACTGGGAATCGAACCTGCGACACTTTGGTTCGCAGCCCGCGCTCAGTCCACTGAGCTACGCCAGCCAGGGCCTTGGTGAGTTTTTTAAAAGCGGTCTCGCTGTCATCCCCCTGCCCTGGGTCAGCCGTTGCTCAGCTCTCACCTGCTCTTCTCTGACTCCGTCAAGGGCGGGCCGTGGACCTGACAGAGCAGACACTCCCTGTCCACCCGGCCGCCCGGCCTGGGACCGCCCTGTCAGCCCACCACGGCGCCGTCGGGCCCCGGGGCCCTCAACCCCTCTCGTGCTCAGACTCCTGCCTTACGTCCTGGTGACTCTCTGCGGGGCCTGCACGGGCCCTGCCTTCCCGCACTCGACGGACACGGGCTGGCACCGCCGGACGGGGACGGGGGGCAGGCCCACCAGCAGCTGGGACAGCGCCGGTGTCCTCCGACGAGGGCCTGCGACCGACCCGAGGCTCCCCTTCCCCGCCCGCCCCCTGACCCTGTCCCCTCCTGTGTCCTGTGCTCCTGCGTCAGACCCAATGCCCTCGGAGGCCCCCCACGGGGGCAGGGAAATCCCCTGGGCTGTGGCGGAAAGACTTGCTAGAACGTGTTCGACTGGAAGAGCACCACGTACCACAGTAATAAAGGAGGGGCGACGCACTTCTTTGGAGAAGCACCGAGACAGTAAGGAGGTTTGAGGGAACTGGAAACCGCCACCCTGCAGCCCCTAACGGTGCTCAGCGAGCGCCGCTCCTGACTGTTCTAATGGGCAGGCTGGGCCGTCGCGGGCCGTGGGCACTACAGCCGCAGTTCGCTGCGCCTCTGGGCTCCGCGGCCGCTGACGGACGGGGCAGCGGCTCCGACTCCTCTGCTGCCCGCCCCCCCCACCTTCATAAATTAGCTGCTAACCGATTCAACTGAACTAAACGAATTCATCTAGACCTCAGCCCTCCCTCAGGCCGGTGGGTCTCTGGGGTAGAGCTGTGTTTTCTGAAATCTCATAGGGGGGTTCCAGACGCTGTGCCCGACGGTGGGGTGGGGGCGACGCCGGCAGGTACAGTGAGAGTGGGGGCGCCCCCCACCCCCGCCTGCTCTGGGGGACAGCCCGCATCCCGCAGGGTTTTCTCACGCCCTACCGATACCCACACAGGAAAGCCCTGTTTAGCGGGGCGGGAGCTTAGACTCTGACCCCAGTTAACGCGCAAACACGGAGAGGTTTCGGCAGTTTTCAGCACAGGCCGCCTTCCCGGGAACGCAGCTGCTCTGTGAGCTGACAGAGGCTGCACTCGGGGTTGCACTCAGGACGGGAACCCCAGTGCTGGAGGCGCTTGAAGGCGCCCCCTGGAGGGGGGTGTGTGTGTGACATCCACCCTCTGCCTCTGGCGTGGCCCCCTGGGTGCTCTTATGTTTGCAAAGACATTTCTAATAATTACTCAATGCTTCACTTTATTTCTCTTTTCTACTATAAAAAGGGCGGCACATCACATTTTTAAGTGGTGTGGGTACTTACACTCTCTGTGAACCTCAGGACACAGAGAGCCTGTTCGGAGTATTTGTTGTTGAGCAGGGTGGGCCGGGGCCGGCCGTGGGGTGGGGAGCCCTGCCTTAGGCGGAGCTTTCTGCAGGGAGGCAGCCCGAGAGCTGGCTGTGAGCTCCAGACGCCCCGGTCACAGACACAGACCCAGGGCCCCCTCTGGGTGCACGTTGGGGTGCTGCCTGGAGCCTGTCTGTCAGCATGTCCTCAGGGGAATTCGGCAGGACCCTCCGTTTCCGTTCCCACTGCTCAAAAGGGAGCCAGTCCTCTGGCAGCCCCAGAAAGACCCAGGTGGCCAGCAGAGGGCACTGCAGACAAGGTTCTCGGCCACCAGGCAGATGCACCTGGGAGCCCCAGCTTAGGCAGCAGCGTGATGGGCCTGCTGCCCGCGGGGCTCCTGTTAGGATCCGAGCACTCTGTGCTGTTCTGTCTTTGGCTGCCAGCCCGGGGGGTTGTACATTCACTTGTTGGCTGCCCACTCGTCCACCTACCCCCCAGAGCCTAAACCTGGGAGGGCTATCCTGTTCTCGCACCCCCATCCTTGGGGCCCAGAATGCCGTCTGGCATACAGGGGGCACCCAATGACTGCCCGCTGAGGGCATGAGGAAGGGAAACAGGAAGAGAGAAAGAGAAAGGAGAGTGGGCAGGAACGAAGGAAGAAAGGGGGAAGGATCCGTCCAGGAGAGTCGGATCCCAGGGCCTGGGGTGGGTCACAGCTCTTACCTCCAGAGACCTCTGCAGGGCCTGGCAGTCGGCGGAAAGCTGGTCCACTTTGTGCTGGTGGCCGGGGTTCCCCTGGATGAAAGGCCTGGCGGCCTCCACCTGCACCCCCAGGTCCAGCCCCTCTTCCTGCAGCCCCTACAGCAGAGGAAGCAATGAGTAGGGCTGCCCTTTCTGCCTCTCATCATGGGTGCTGCCCGGGGCCAGGGACGCTGAGTGGGGGACACTGGGGGAGGGGTCCTGGGACAGTGGGTCCCTGACCAACAGCTGCACCACGAGGCCGCCTGGTGGGTCCACTCTCGAGAACGGGGAGAGTTTCTCAAACGAGATGAAAATACGCTGTGACACCATGAGAGCAAACTGGGGGACATGCAGCCGGACTCTCGCCGGGTGACCGTCACACGTTAGGAAGAGCCCCATCTCGGCTGCAGCCTGAAAGCCCCGGATGCGCCATTTGTGGCGTCTTCCAAAGCACACGTGCCGTGTGGGGATGCGCTGAGCTTGGGCTGTGAGACGCAGCTGCCGAACGCCGGCCAGCTCCTCATCCAGCCAACGCCCATCCTGCCCACGGGTGCACTGAAAGATTGATTCTTAGGGCCCCAATGGGTTTATCTAACTGAAGGCCTTTGGACTCGTTAGCACACTTAGCAAAGCAACTTTAAAAACAAGAGCGATGTTAGAGTTTGAACCACGGACGGCTTATCAGTTTTCTAAGGTGGAGAGTCAGCGTCTTGGAGGTGCCAAGGGCCCTGCTGAGGCCAGGAACCATCAGGCAGGTCAGCGGAGAGGAGAGATCAGACCTCAGTGCAGGCTCAGGTGCCTGGAGGGGGCGGCTGACGCTCTGCTGGTTACTGCTAAGGAGGGCGCTGCTTCCAGGTGCAGCTCAGCACCTGAGCAAAGGGGACTCGGCCCCACAGGCCCCTTACCTGCAACCTGGAAAGCTGGGCCTGTTTGGCAGGAAGGTTCCGCTGAAGCCCGCCCTCGGCTCGGACCCTGACCTGCAGGCCCGAGAGTTTCTCCTGCAGGGGCTCGAAAGCAGCCCTGAAGTCCGTGTGTTGTGCCAGCAAGCTCTGGAGAGACACAGAACGGGCGGCACCCACGTTAAGACCTCTCCTCCCAACCCAGCTGCTTTCTCCAGCGTTCTCCCCGCTCGCTCGTGCTCGCTCAGGCATCACCGCCTCCAGGAAGCCTTCCCAGAGCTCTTGAGGGGGGTTGAACGCCCCTCCTCAGAGTCACCAAAGTGTCCTCCCATGCAGCTGCTCTGCCCACTAGGACAGGAGCTGGCAGACTCCATCGGCACCGTACACCCCTTTTGTTAAAAAGGTTTTAGAGGCACACAGCCATGCCCACTAGCGTGCAGCCGCTCTCATGCTGCTGTGGCGGAGTGGAGACGCGGCAGCGGAGGGCGTCTGCCTGCACTCCCTGGAATGCTTGCCGCTGGGGTCAGCGGGGTCAGGGACGTGAGCTCTCAGCAGGTGCCCGGCCCCTCATCAGTGCCCCACAGACCACAGCTGTCATCACCATCATCGTCATCACCGCCATCACTGTCATTGTCATCATCGGACACGCAGCAAACATTTGTAACGTGAAGAATGAGCTGTCTGGGGCACGCCATGTTTTATCTTCGATTTCACGTAGTCACATTTAGAAACGTGTTGCTGATAATCATAGTTTCTAGTTAACTGCTGGTTCAAAGCTTAATTTTGTTTTCTCTGTGTTTTCTTATTTGACACTCCCTAGCTCTCTGTGAAAGACAGTTCAGTGACTGGAGAGCAGGGAGGGGACTTGGGGGCAGGGGGCAGAGGGCAGGGGCAGACCGATGGCCAGGAGCCCAGCCCAGTGAGAAGGGTTGCACAATAATCCCGCCCAGTTTAGAGACGAGCAACCGGAGACTGTGGGGCCAAAGGGACGTGCCCAGGGCCACCCGGAGGCACGTGGTGGAGCTGAGATCCGCAGGGAGGGCTGCCTGGCTCGGAAGGGGTGGCCTTGTCCCCCAGCTGGCCCTGGCGCCAGGGCCGGGCGGGCAGCGGCGGGGCTCACCTGCAGTTTGCTCTTCCTCTGCAGAAGGCTGTTGTGCAGCAGGTCCCTGTCCCGCACAGAGCCCGCCACCTGCTCCAGGAGGGCCGCTGCCCTGTCCTGGCCGCAGACGCTGCCCAGCAGGTCCTTCTTCAGCTGCAGCACGGTCAGCTGCTGTTTCAGGCGGGAGCTCTCCATCAGGGCTGCCTGTGGAGGGAGACAGGTCGCCATTAGCCTCAGAGCAGGACGGCGCAGGACGGAGCTGAGAGGCCGCTCCAGGAGCACACCTGTTCGGTTGCGACCGCCCCGTGGCTGCACCTTTGTGCCGGGTCCTAGGGCAGCAGCAAACCTGAGGAACAGGCTGGCAGGAATGCACTGCAGAAGCCCTGAATTTAGGGGTCATCTTGATTCCTCCCTCGTTCCCCAACATCCATCTTATTGTCAAAGTCTGAGCAGGAATTCTACTGCCTACATGTCTTGGAGATCGTCTCCTGTCCATCCCCACCGCCGCTGACTGTGGGCACCTCAGCCTCGCTCACCGGGGCCACAGCAGCTCCCAGCAGCCTGCTGGCCTCCACCAGCCCCAGCACCAGCTGTGCCCACTGCAGCTGAACCCAACCAGACCAGACCAGTCTGGATCCTTACTCAGCAATCTGCTTCACCATTAGCAGTGGGCTACCTCCCAGGTGGTGCTCGGGACATTTTGAGGGGGCTAAGGGCCTGTGGGAACATGATCAGGGGTAATTCAGGAAGGCTCACCAGAGGAGGTGGCACCTGAATGGAGTCAAGATACATAGGAGCTCGCCAGGTGGAAAGGGATCTAAAGGAAACTCAGAGGCCTCCTTGTAATGGGCAGCTGCTCCTGTGCAGCCTGAGCTCTGCACAGCCCAGGCCCCACCTCCTCCAGGAATCCTGCCCTGATCACATGCCCAACCTACACTCACTTTCTGCCCCAAAGCCCTGTGCCAAGCCTCAGGCCCCTGCTGATTAACCAGTTGTTTGGGTGAGGCCCAGGGCCCTGGAGGCCAGGGGTTTTGTTATCAGCTGGCCAGAGTCCATCCATTTTTACCCGATGACAACACTAGATGCTGAGCCAGGCATGGGGCTGGGACCAGAAGGACAAAGACCCTAGTCCAGGCAGGTAACTGCAGTCAAGGCAGAAAGGGAATGTTTTCCTAAGCAAAGTTTCAACCAAGTGCTGTGGGCATGCATTCAAGACAGAAGTGGGTTTCCTGGTTGGGGAAATCCAAGAGGGCTCCTCAGAGGAAGCAGTATTTACAAGGGCTGAGGGGGTCCCTGGAGGAAGGGCAGCAAAAACATGGCTGGCACGGCTGGCCTGGAGTGTCCTGTGAATGAAGGCATGTGCTTTGTGATCGGCCACACAGAGGTCAAGCCTCTTTAGGGAGGGGGTCACCTGCACCCCCCTTTCACCAAACCCAGACATGATATTGTGGGGTTAAGAATTCAGGCCGGGCAGTTATCATCATGATGAGTTGCATTACGTGCTAGCTGGGAGGCCATGGGCAGTTTGGAGCCTCAGTTTCCTCATCGGTAACATGGGGGTGGCCACACCCCCACTCATGGGGGTGCCATGAAGCTTAAATGAGATGATGCCCATGAAACATCTAACAGAGCAAGGCCCGCGGTGGGGCACCACAAACAGCAGCTCTTCCCAGCTGGTAGGGATGGAACTGTGTCCTCCCCCAGGAAGGAACGGTGAGGTCTTAACCCTCCCCCACCAGCTCAGAACGTGACCTTCTTTGGAGACAGGGTCCCTGCAGGGGTAGCCAAGGCCAGGTGAGGTCACTGGGGTGGGCCCCTGATCCAGGCCGACGGGCGCCCGAATGAAAAGGGGAAGTCTGGGCCCAGACACACGTGTGCACAGAGGGAGGACCAAGCGGCAGCACACAGAGAGAAGATGTCCAGGTGTGGACAGAGGCAGAGACAGGACCTACACGCCCGGGGACACCAGCGACCGTGGCAAACACCAGTGACCTGCAGGAGAGGAGGCGGCACGCGCCCCTAGAGCCCTCGGAGAGAGCAAGGCCCCCCCTTGCCGCCCCCCCGCCCCCCCCCCCGCCCCCCGACGCCTTGATCTTGGACTTCCGTTCCCGGAACTGTAAGAGGATACATTTCTGCTGCTTTAACCCGCCCAGCTTCTGGTATGTTGTTAGAGTTGCCCAAGGAAACTGATACGCTGGCCATGCCCTACTCTGGGGGCTCCGAGTTTCAGTTCCGGAGGAATTCTGCAGATCCAAAAGCCACTCTGGGGCTAGACAGAGGAGCTGAGTCAAGAAAAGACAAAGACAGGGCGGGCAGCCCGAGCCCCGGCCCGTGACATCCAGGCCGCCCCGGCCAGGCTGGGGACAGGGATACAAGACTGACTGGCTCTCTGCCAGCAAACCGAAGTCCTGGCCTGACTTGTTCCCGCCCACGGCTCCGAGAAACCCCCGCTCTGGGGGTCCTGGCCACCCTCCGGAAGCACAGTCCTCTCGCTCCCACCTCTAGGAGGTCCCGGTGTGCCTTCTGCCCCGTGGGAAGGACAGGATGGAAACACACTTGTCGTGGAGTCAGGCAGGCCTGGGTCAGAGCCGCAAGGACCGGGTGACCTTGAGCAAGTGGCTTCCCCTCTGTGACACCTGGTTTCCTCCAGGGTCAAATAGTTCTAACAAAACTGTTCTGCTTAACTCGCAACGCTGTTTCCGGGAAGCAGCGAGCTAACAGGGACCAGAGCATTAGACGGAAGTCTAGACCCCGCCATTCTGGCCCTAGCTCTGCCTCTCTCGGGTGGCCTGACCTTGAACAAGTACCCTAACTTCTTCCTGGCCCGAATCCCTCAGCAAAATGAGGAGGAAAATGGTAGACATGGGGACAAAAATCTGTGTAGATAGATATTCAACATACATTAATTACGACAACAAAAAATCAGAAGCCACCTAAATATGTGTGGTACACTCAGTAAATTATGGCATACCCACAAATGGAACCTCAGGCAGCCGTTGGAAACGATGACCTTTTTGGAACAGCTTTAAATGCTGCTGAGAAAAAGCTTATATGTGTAGAGTCGACATATCAGTGGATAAAACTATATAATGTGATCTCAAATACGTAGAAACTGTAATTTATTAATTAAAGCTTTGGTCTATGATGACCATATCTTGTGGAAATGGCTCAATGGCTTTTCATCAGATGCAAGGGGTGTGTTTGGGAGAGTCTGGCCTGAAATTGAGGTTTCTGGCACACATGAAATTCTCCTTGGGGGATCTCTGAGGAGTACCTCGAAGAGACAGACCATCATCCTTTGGAGCAGGAGGGGCTCCACAGGGGCCCCACAGGACCCCCGGAAGGGGAGGCCATGATCTGCAGCATGGGCAACATGGAGGGAGAACGCACCTGCTCCAACCTGAGCGCCAGGTGGACAACCATGAGGGAGACCCTGGTCTGCAGCCCAGGAGGGCGCTCCAGGCCGAGGAGGGGCCGACGCCAGCCTCCACCAGGTTGGACAGGACAGTGATGGAGACACTGCCCAGCAGGTCACCAGTGTCCCGTGGCCCATGGGAACACCAGCGAGGGCTCTTCATTTCCATCGCAGATCTCTACGTTCCCCAAGGAGACGTGACCGGTATCATCAGGACGGAAATGAATGCAAAGCGGGGCTGACACTCCCGATGCTCTGGTGTCTAGGAACCTGGCCCTGAAAGCACGTTGTTGTGAACTTCAGAGCTCAGGGCAGCCCAAGGCAGTGTTTACAGGTGAACCGGAGCTACCATGGTGACGGGCGTGGGTGGCGGACACGGTCCACAGCTCTCCCAACCGCCCTTCCTCCGGCTTCCTCACCGAATGGCCAGGATTTTGTCTGGGTAGCAAATGGCCGGTTCCAGGTTCTAGGAGGATGACTATAATGGACACGCATCATGGTAATCCCATCATCCTCAGCCAGGGATTGGGCCAGGGGTGGTCATGTGACCTGGGTTGGCCAATGAGGTGTAAGGGGAGTCTGCTGGCCTCTCGGAAGGAGGATTCGCCTCCCTGCTGGAAGTGGTAGATGGAGAGTTCTTTAGCTCCCGTGCCATTCCTTCCTGTTCACGCGTGAATGCATGCTGGCAGCGGTGGCCACCATCACCGGCCGTGAAAGGAGGCGTGGCTTAGAGCTAGAGAAGCCTGGGTCCTGAATGATGCTATCGAGCTATCAAGCCAGCCCTGGGACCGCCTGAAGATCACTGAGTTTTAAGCTACCATTGGTCAGGTCTCCTGTCACTTGTCGCATGCATCCTATCACGTAAAGGGCACGGCCTGACGTGCTCTCTCATTGCTCAGGTTCCCACCAGAGGGCTGCCCGCAGTGGGGTCTGGAAGGGAGAGGGTGTGGCAGGCTCAGTGCAGAGTTCTGGGGTCACACCGGGCGCCCAGCTTTGCCTGCCTTCTGAGGTTGAGCTCTGTCTCCGATAATGAATGCTGGTGCTTCCTGGGAGCACAAACCTCCTGTGCTGGGCCAGTTTGCCGTGAACTTTACCAGATAGGCAGAGGACCCAGGAGCACGCCTTTCCCTAGGATAAGACCTGAGCTGCCCCACTCCACGGTGGCCTCCCCCCGCCTCACAGGTCAGCCCTCCGGCCGGTCCCCGCTTACCTCGATCTGGGGCAGGAAGGTGTGAATGGAGGGCAGGTCTGGCAGGCTGGCGGTGACGTCCAGGAGCCTCTGGGCCAGGTCCCGCCACAGCTGCAGATCCTGCAGAGGCCGCTGGACACGCTGCCACAGCTCCACCCCCGCGGCGTTGCGCAGCCTGGTGCTCTTCGCCTTCATGCTGCTCAGACGTGGGGGGTGAACCGGAGAGAGTGGAGTCAGTTCAGGAGTGCAGCCGCGCCCGGACCCCCAGGAACCCGGCGTGTGCTGCTCCCGGGGCGGTCCCTCTGCTATCGCGCGGGCTGTGAGCCCTGTGCCCTCGGGGCGGAAGTGCACTGGAAAGGAGCCAGTCCCCAAACAGACTCGCAGCCCAGCTTCATGACCAGGGAACGTCGAGTTCTAAAGAGCAATGACGGAGCCTTGAGACAGGTGCTGCCCGCCCCCGGGGACCCCGCAGGAGCAAGCCGAATCCTTGTTTGAGTGAATGACCATCCTGCCGGGCCCCTATAACTCTGGGCACGGCCTGCTTGTGCACAGGAGGTGCACGTACCCCGCCTGCCCCAGGCTGACATCCCCCGGCCGGTCCAGGCCACTGCTCTGAATGTCCAGAGGTGTGGACTGAGGACACCGTGGGGTCAGAGACACACAGCAAGGGGGGAGGTCCCGGAGCCCATTCCAGAGGACGCCCAGGACCAGGCAGAGGTCCTGTGGATGCAGGGATGCCTCTGCCGTGCTCTAAACAACTCTGAAGCCACACACTGAAAAACAGCTACGGTTCCAAATTAACCCCGTGCTGTGCTGCACCGAGGGCGGCAGTTCGGTCTGCTCGTCCGTGCTGAGCTAGGAAGGTGGGGACCTGCTGTGCCTGAGAGCCCACGGGCCGAGGGAGCAGAAGAGGCCGGCGTCAGCACCCTCAGCAGGCAGGGGGGTGGTGTCTGCCTGTTGAAAACACTCCCCTTGGGTCGTTACGTGGTGGACCCAGCCCCAGTGCTGAGCTGCATAAAGAGACTCGGGGGAAATGGGTGAATGAGCCCCTTAGCATGGACAAGAGCAAACTCGGGACTCTTTGGGGGAGAGAAACGCAAACTACTCTCCAAAGGGACAGTGACCACACTGAGTCAGACCTGTGGCAGACAGCCATCGAGAGGTGCAAGGATTCCTGAAGTTACCAGGTTGCCAGAGAAAGCAAGCCCGCTGCCCGGAGACGGCCTCAGATGGGGACAGGAGGCCCTGAGTCCCGCCCCTCGTCCCGCCCCTCAGCCCCCCGCCCCTCCCCTGTACCTCTGGAACTCCTGGATGGCAGCGACGACGCTGTCGGGGATCGGCTGCGGGTCGTGGGGGGAGACCATGAGCTCCTTCAGCTGGGCCTGCAGCCGGTCCACCCGGGGCTCCTCCGAGGCCAGCGCCGCCCGCGTCGCCTGCAGCACAAATGAGCCCCGAGGGAGGTGGTGAGGTCCCGGGACAGGACAGGGCGTGTGTCCAGGGCGGTGAGCGTGGCGGGCAGGGGGCGGGGCAGCCAGGGAGAAGACAGGCAGGGGCTTGGCCCTGCTCCCCCATCTCCCGTGACCCTCCCTCGCCAGGCTGGTTTTTCTCTTGATACCACCCACCTCACAGCCTGGTCACGAATACGAGCTCCTCATAATACAAACAACTCATGTCTAGCACCAGTGACACCATGCTGAGTGTGCTGGGTGTCTCGCTCATTTAAGCTTCCCAAGGGTTCTGGAAAGTGGGTGGGTGGGTGTGTCCCCATTTCACAGGCAAGGAAGCGCCGTCCAAGTGTTTCCCGACACCACAGGGCCAGTCAAAGGTGGACACTGGAGCCAGGCCCCCCGGCTCCTCCGCTGCCCCCTCAGCACCAAAAGGCACGATGGCCTAGAGGGTTGTGGGCAGGCCTTGAGGACATTTCCACGGAGCACCGCCCAACCACCTCGGGACCGAGTTCTGCACCCTCCGCCCTGGCCGAGTTGCGGAACTCTCAGCGGCTTGTCTCCCCGTCTACAAAAGGGGGGGCGCCGTGGCCGTGACCCCACCCAGGGCCCCGCAGCCCTCCGTGTGGCTCTGAGGGTGAGCCTGCCCCGCACAGATGCTCTCTTTGCGGGCTGCTCTTTCAGCCGAGGCCCTGACGCGCCTGCCTCCCCCGAGTTTCTCAGAAGGGCAAGCGGCCCACACTCCTTTCTCGGTGCCGGGTGGGCTCAGTGCACTCTGCTGTCCCTGCTCCGCTGGGCCAGGGAGGCCCCAGCCCACCGCCGGTCCCACAGCCGTGCAGCCACAGGCCTGGCCTGGCCCCCAGGCCCCCACACCGCTGGGCTGGGCTGGGCTGGGCTGGGCAGGTCGGGTGTGGCTGCTCCTGGCCACAGGGCACGCCACAGGAAATGCAAACAGTAACTGCCCGAGTGCTGTTGAAGAGCAAAGTCCCTAGTGATCAGTTCTGAAATTCCCTCTTGCGGATACCCAATGAGTCAGGACTTGGTCAGAGTTGAGGTGACCCCAGGATCAGGTGCAGCAGGGGGCCTCCGGCAGGCTGTGGTCGGCCTCCCACTTCGGGGACGGCTTCCCGGAACAGCACGTGGCTGTGTGACAGGGGGCAGTGGCAGGGCACCCGGGTGCCCCTTCCCAAAGAGCTCGCACCCTCTGACCTCCCCTCTCTGGACCGCACGGTAAAAGCAGTACTCTGAGTGTTGGCTTTTCGGCAGGTGCTAGTCTAAGCGTTCTTGTTTCCACGTGTTCATAAGGAATTTGTGTGTGTGTTGGGGGGGGGGGTTCCTATTATTAAATCCCCTTTTGACATTTAACTGAGAGTAAGAGTAGTTCTCCCAAAGTCATCCTGTTGGCGAAGCGAGCCACCCAGGACTTGATGGGCCAGCGGTCCTGTCCCAAAGCCCCCACCCCTAACCACTGCCCGGGCCGCCCCCTCCTGCCGAGGCAGACGGTGCTGCGCTGGGGACCAGTCCCTGTGCACAGAGCCGACTGCAGTGGGCTCTGGCCCTCACGACGGGCCTGAGCGGGCCCCAGGGAGCCCGTGTGCCTTGCTCCGGCACACGCAACAACACTCGTGCTCGCGGGCGGACTTAGAAGGGAGGGGAAGAGAGCAGGGCAGTGCACAGCGGAAGTGGGTCTGCCTGGCTCTTCTTCCAGATGCTTCCCCTGGCGGAACTGACACGGAGTGACCTCGCTGAGTTAATGAATAATGACGGGAGAGGGGAGGGTGTTTATCCTTAAATCTCTCCGTCCACAGGTCGAACCTCCTGTGAGTGGGCACACGGGGCAGGGGAGGGGGAGGGTGCTCTGATTGGACACCACGTGTCACTGGAACCCACCCTGCTGCCCAGAATGGGCACGTCTGTTGGCCTCCCCAGATGACGAGTTGGCCCATGGTCATCTCTACACTAAGAGCTTCACCCTTGGCTTGAACACCCTCTGCTCTGGGCTCAGGGAGTCGGCCACCCCCCACGCCCCCACCAGGCACAGAAGTGGCAGCCTGGAGACCATCCACCTCTGGTCTCACCGACCTGCTGATGCATCTTGTGATCCTAGGAATACTGGGAGTGGGGAAATCTCTCCAGGGCTCAGTTTCCTCATCTGGAAAATGGGTGCAAACGCCCAACTTTGGGAAAACCAGAGTGCGTGTGCTGAAGGCCCACTGCGATGCCCGCCACGCAGAAGCTCCCAGGGGTGACTGACTGCACGGCCATGGCTTGGCCCAGCACCGCTTACCGAGTAGCGTCTCCAGCGGGCCACCAGCTCGTCCTCGGTCCCCGCCCCGGCCGCGGGCTCCAGGCCGTCCTCAGCCAGCCTCCGGAGGCCCTTCCTGAACTCCCCCAGCTCGGCCTCCAGCAGCTTCCTCCGCCGCTCAAAGGCCCCCCTGGACCGGAGCAGGCCCCGCAGCTGTTCCTCCTCCTCCCCCCGGAGGGCTCGCAGCTTCTCCAGGACTTCCCGCATCTTCTCCAGCTCCTTGGTGATCTTCTCCGCGCCCAGGGGAGAGGTGTTTTGGATGACCCCCACGGCCTGCTCCTCCAGCCTCTTCAGAGACTCCTCACCCCTGAGGAGATCGTCGGCGATGCCCTGAAGGGGAGGCCGGGTGGAAAAAAGCCGGAGGGCGAGGTCAGGCTGCACGTGGGTTCCTAGACTCCTGGCTCAGGGCCAGAGACCACCTCTCCAAGGGGCGGACCGTCCACCTCCACGGCCCTGACTCACTGCAGGGGGACGCAATCCCCTGCCCACATCTCTTACCAGTCACCTCCGTACCCCAAGGAGAGAGTCTCTGGCGGGTGCTTCTCTAAATGTCGTTGACACTCCCTGACATTCGTTACTCTGCCCGTGTAGCAGAGACTGACAGTACGGGGCCGAGAGGACCCGGATGGACCCACTGGACTTCACAGTGTTGATCTGTACGGTCACCCGCTAATGACGAATGAGTACTGATGGTCCGACCATGACCTCGATATCAGGTTTCTGATTTACATAAACGGTCGTCAGCTTTTGATTTTTTTTTTAAATAAAAACTGTTTTGTGAACACCTTTAAATCTATTTTATCTGAAAACGCCTTGGAAATATTCTTTAACTTTTTTACTGAAGTGTAGTTGACGTGGCATAAAGCACACAGACCTTGGGTGTGACCGTTCGAGAGTTTCGAGAAATACGCATGCTCGTGTAATCCCCACTGTTACCGAAACATACGGCATTTCTAACACTCCGAGAGATTCTACAGTTTACTGGAAGCCACAGAATATGTTACTTTTTGAAACTGGCTTCTTCCACTCAGCATAATATTTTCTTAGACTTTTCCACGCTGCAGCCGGTATCAGAATTTCATTCCTCCTTACTGTGAGTTACATCCCTGCATCTACACATGACAATACGTTTGTCCCGACAGGTAACGTTCTATCAGATTGTTTCCCCAGCACTCTGCCGCCAGGAGCCTGGACTGCTTTCGGCGTGGGGCCGTGATGAGCAAGGGTGCTGTGGACACTCTTACATAAGTACAAATATTAAATAAAGGGTACAGGTGCTGTATAATGTTGCAAAAATTATAGAGTGGTTCTTGAATTATCGGAGATAATCTACCCAGTTACTTTACAGAGGGAGTCAGAAGTTGATTCAAGGTTGTTGCGTGTCGGGAGGGTGAGAGGGGACAGAGCCCCTGCCCCCCTCCCCGGGCCTGCCACCTCTGCCAGGCTTTCTTACCCTCAGCCCTGCTGACATTTGAGGCTGGATAGTTCCCTGTCGTGAGAGCCGTGCTGTGCACTGTAGGATTCTTAGTAGCATCTCTGGCCCCAGCCCCTGGATGCCAGTAGCCCCCCCTGCCACCCCCAACTGTGACAGCCAGAAATGTCTCCAGACTCTGCAGATGTCCCCTGTCTGGGACCCACCAGTCTAGACCACGCCGCCGGGGCCTGGGGTTTCCCGGTGCCCTGGCGGCCCAGAGACCTCCACACGGCACCCGAGGACCCCAACACGCTTCGCTAGACCCCACACTTCTCCTCCCGTGGGGTCTGTATCTCCTTTGGCCCCCGCACCCCCTGTTGCATAAACTCTAACACAGAACTCGCCCCCACTGCAGCTCCCTTGGGGCCCCTGGGGGAGACACAGCCGGGTTATTTACCTGCAGCTCGGAGAGCCGGAGCTCGTCGGCCAGCTGGCAGCTCCGCCCCACGCAGCCCTGCACCTTCTCCACCACCGCCTGCAGCCACAGCTGGAACTCGTCCACGCCGGCCTGGTAACGCTCGTGCTCCCGCGTCACCTGCTCCAGCAGGCCCACTCTGTCCTGAGGGAGGGAGGAATGTCAGCGGCCGTGGGGGGCTCCAGCCTGGCTGCCCTGGCCTTCGGGGCCTGTGTGTGTGTGTGCATGTGTGCATGCAGGTGTGTGTGCATGCAGGTGTGTGTGCGTGCAGGTGTGCAGGGGGATGGGGCACAGCCAACCGGCAGCCCCTCTGCTGGAAATAGAGACCCCAGACCCCCTTCTCTGGCTTATTAGCAATAAGCCAAGAGACTCTCAGCTTCGGAGACCAAGCAAGTCAGTGCCGGGTCCGTCACCTGCCCAGCTGGCTTTCTGTCCCGCTGTGCCCTGGGAATGGCACTTGAGGTGGGGCCTGGTCACCGCAACTCCTGCCACCTAACACCGTCGCCTGAGCACTCACCACGGGGCCGGCGCTGCCCCGGGGACTCTGTGGGCACCGCCACCACCCTGGACTCTCCCAGCAGCCCCTCACAGGCAACGTGATCGGTCCGGTCCAACAGACAGGGACTCGGCGGCCTGGAGGTGGGATGGCCCGTCCGAGGCCATCGGCCGCCTGGGAAAGCACCGAGACTGAAACGCGATGGTAAGGCTGGGTCGCAGGGGGACGGCCCCTTCACAGCAGGGTCTGCGGGGCGTGCAAACAAAGGGCAGGCTGCCTGTTTCCTCGTGCGGGAGGCCCAGCCCCCCGCGTGGGCTGGGGTCGCTCTGTTTTCAGACGGCCCCACGGAAGTTCTGACCACATAGGGACAACACGGGAGTCTGGGGGGGGGGGGGGGACTGGCTCTGGGAAAAGAAGTGTTCCTGACACAAGACCCACTGTGTGCCTAGGGACTCCACTGTTCAAAACACACCACTGATCACAGCACCCTCTCTTGAAACCCCTCCGGGGCTCCTCGCTGCCCCCAGGCTCAGGTCCAAGTGCCACAGTCTGGAGGTCAAGGGCAGATGCCATGACTGGGCATGGGGAGCCGGAGGTCCGGACCCTGGGCTCGGGGCCTGCTGCCCGTGACTCGAACCACGGCCTGCCTCAGGCACTCCCTGCCTCGGGCACTGCCTCTGTGCCCAAGCCTCCCCACCTGCAGGGGGCAGTGAGGAGGGGAGTGCCCGCCCCACTGGGCTGCACTGGGACTGAACGGGCCGGAGCTCACGCAAACCAAGGACAGCAGCAGGCGGCCGTGTGAGCGCTCCAGCACGGTGAGCCATCGTTTACGGCCACCTGCTGACTTCCGTGCTCCGGGGCAGCACGACCCCCGGCACCCTCCTTTCCCGACCAAGTGCCGCTGCCCCGGGCTGAGCAAAGGGCCTTCCCTCTGTGGTGGCTCCCGCCGGGGGGACCAAGAGCTCCCTACGGGCAGGCCGCACCGTGTCGGTTCGTCTCCCAGGTCCACTCCGGGCAGGCTCTGCAGACGCCTCCTGAGCGGCAGGAAGACACACATGGGGTGTCTGCCAGCGGGGAGGGGGGAGGGGGGTTGGAGTGGGCGGGGGATGTTTCCAGGAGGGTCAAGGGAAGGGAGAGAGGGGATTTCCATTTAACAAGCACTGGCTACAGGCCTAGAACTTGACAAGCATGATCTTATTTAATCTGTGCCACAATCACAAAACCCCCCATTATGCAAATGTCCAAATCGATGCTGTGGGGTCACAGAACTCTCTCGTGGGACCTGAGACACAGGATTTAAACGGCTTGTGTCGGACTGCCAGTCAGGGCTCCAGACCGGAGGTTGGCCACCTGCAGCTCGTCCGGCTTCCCCGACCTGCGGGTTTCTGGGGCAGCTGCCCTGCTTTCGGGGCGCTGCTCCTGCCCCAGGGTGCAGCACAGGCAAACACCCCTGGGCTGGGTGTTCTCTGCTACAACTGAAATGTGCACACTCCAGCTCGAATTCCACATCTTTGCATATCATGGAATGTCCTGGTTGGTAATTTCCGTGCAATCGTTCAAAGGCAGAAACTCCATGTTCAGCTCACAGGCCGTGCAAAATCAAGAGGTGGGCTGCGTGCGGTCCGTGGGCCGCAGGGTGCGGACCTCACCTGGCAGCCACAGCACGGCGGGGGGGGGAGGGGAGGGCCTCTGAGCAGGTACACAACGAAGCCCCGAGTCCCTGGCTGGGAAGTGTGGACGGACACGCAGATTCCAACACCGCCCCGCTCTCTGTGTCTGCCTGCCCCTCCCTTGGAGCAGCTCCTTGCCGAGCCCAGAAATACTGATTCACTTAAACCTTCACTTATGACCACGGCGAGCAGGAGAAAACCACCCCACTTCTGAGATGGGGATGGCGAGGCAACCAGCCCAGCCCTTCGGAGACGTGTGGAGAAGCCTCCCACTCGTGGGCGCGAGGCCCAGAGCGTCCACGGCCACCCACGCCGATGAAAACACTGCCGTTTCAGCGGGACGGTGGCCTCGCCCCTCCCACGGGACCGCCTGTGTCCGCCAGGGCTGCCCCACCCACGGGCAAGGCTCAGTCACGGACCAGACGGGGTCGGGAACAAGGAGCAGAGAGTCACCTCGGGCGCCGGCTGCCTGACAGTCGTGAATGTCATCGCGGAGCGGCCCGTGTGATGAACACGCTGGCCGGCGGCTGCGTGAGCGTGTGAGCGGCGAGGCGCTGGCACCCCGGGCAGACACACACTCCATCCGGGCTCCGGGGAGAGGGCGCAGGCCCCGATGGGACCGCAGCCGAGCGGGGCGGCCGTCCCGGCGAGCCTCGTGCCAGGCAGAGAGATCGCAGAGCGCCGTTCGGCCGCCACGGCACGGCAGCACATGACAGGGGTGACAAATGGGAGAGGGCTCCCCCTTCTCGCGCTAGACCAAACAATGAAACCATCTGTGGCCGGAAGAGCTGTCAGGGACGCCAAAACCCAGCCCGCCGACACGGGCGCCGCGGACCGCCCTCTGCGCGGCTGCACGGGCCGCTGCTCCGACTCTCGGCCAGACGTGGGACACTCGCGCCTCCTTGAGGGCGGGAAGCGGCGGGATGGAGGGCGCAGCTGTGCCCCTGGCTCTTGGGGAGAGGGAATCGCTGGATTAAAAGCTCTCTGACAACATAAACAAGCAAGACCTTACGGGCTGCCTGCCTGCTCTGTTTCTGCCTCACTTCCAAGTGCGTTGCGTTGACAGAGGGCTCACCCCTTGTCTGAGTCAGGCCTTTTAATGAATAACTGTTTGCAGGGGGTGGTCACAAAGGCCACCGGCGCAGAGGTGGCCCCCGCAATGCTTCCCTGGTCCTGGCCCTGCTGGCACCAGAGGCTTTGCTAATGAGCCCACTGGAAGTCAGAAATGGGTTTTCAGAGGCAGCAGAAATTAATGGCCTGTCCCCCAGCGTGAGCTCTGCTGCAGTGGGCTTGCTGGCGAAAGACGAGGGTCAGTGCAAACAGCGTCTGGCGCACACTGAATGGTGCCCACCCCCGCCAGAGCCCCACATTGGAGCCCCGAGCCCCGATGGGGTGGTGTCTGGAGATGGGCCCGTGGGGGCTGTTCCGTGGGCCATGAGGTCCTGCGGGTGGGGTCCCCGTGAGAGGGTCCGTGCCCTTATCAGAAGAGACGCCAGAGAGCCTGCTGTCCCTTGCGCTGTCTGCCGCAGGAGGACACAAGGGGAGAGCGGCCGCCTGCACCCCAGGGAGCGGCCCCCACCAGACACTGAAGGCTCCGGCACCCTGATATCGGACTTCCAGCCTCCGGGCTGTGAGGAGTGAGCTCCTGCTGCTGGACCACCGGCCTGCGATTTCCGAGGCAGGTGCCCAGGCAGACAGAGGCAACGCCCCAGGGGCCCTCCCCTCTCGGAGGACAGCCCCGGCCCTGTCGCTGGGGGGATTTCAGCTGCCTGCCTGGGGGTGGTGTTCTCACCTGCTGTGAGAGAGCCTCTTAGGCCAGGTGACCTCTCATCGCGTGTCCAGAGCAGGGGACCAGGAGGCCCCTGGGCCACTGCGAGTGAGTCTTCAGGGACTACCGGGCAGCAGGGCTAACTGCCCATTTGGGGGGTGGTGGTGCAGGCTGCTTTCCTTCGGCCCGGGGTGGGGGCAGGGCGGCTGGGGTGAGGCCGGGATACTGATCCCATTTTACCGATGAGGACCTCGGGGTCGGGGGCTAACTCTCCTGCCACGGGCAGTAGAACGTCTGCTCCTCTCAGCTTCTCAGACTTCCGAGGGTCACGGCGCCCTCTGGAACCTCACAGCAAAATGCCCGTTCTCACGGGACAGTTCGCGTCGGACACCAGAGGGCCCTGGCCCCCGCCCACCTGCTGCCTCTGATGGAGACTATGAAACAAACTCAGAATGATGCCAGACACACCCCGCATCCGGGACGGGTGCACGACGTGAGGACAGAGAGACCCTGACATTGCAAAGAAGGAGCGGGGACATATAAGAGAACCAAACGGGATTTCTAAAATAACAGTAACAGTGATTGAACACAGTAACTCAATGGGCTGTTTAAGAATAAGACTGAGAACGAGAAGAGGGACCAGGGGCAAAGGGCAGGCACAGGGGTGGGGACAGGGAAAGAGAGGGGCGGAGGGGAGTGGCTGGAGGGTGGGAGGAGGGAAGAAAACGGGGAAGGGGAGGAGCGAGGCGAGTCGGACAAAGTGAGCCTTTGTCCACCGGTCAGCAGGCCGACCCTGTGCACATCGGGCGCCCGCCGTGCACAGACCACTGCATGACACCGGGGGTGCACAGGGCAGGGACGGGGTGAGGGGTGGGAGGGTGGGCAGACGGACAACTGATGAGCGGGCGGGCAGACAGTGAGTGGGCAGAGGGACAGACGGGGGACAGGCGGACAGTGAGTGGTTGGGTAGGTGGGTGAGGGGGTGGACAGTGGTAGCTGACAGTGGAGAGGTGGGTGGGTGAGTGGGTGGGTGAAGGAGTGGGCAAGCTGACGAGTGGGTGCATGAGTAGCCGGACGGCTGGGTGGGCGACTGAGTGGTTGTCCAGACAAATAGGAGGTTGGATGGGTTGGTGGGGACGTAGATGGGGGAGCAGAGAGTAAAGAGATGTGTAGGAGGGTGGGCAGCTGGGCGGATGGCTGGGTAGGTGAGGTGGTGAGTGAGTGGGCAGTGAGTGGGCGTCTCGGTAGTTCAGTGGGGACGTGAATGGGTGTGTGGCCAGGAGGGTGGACGGATGCGTGAATGTCAGCGGGTGGGTGTTGGGTGGGCGGACCGTGGATGGCGAGCAGATGGATGGACAGATGGTTAGGTAGCGAGTGGGTGGCTGGGTGACTGGATGAGGTGGGGAACTGGCTGCACTGGGGGAACACCCACCACCCTCACCCACCTGGGCCTTGGCTTTCACGGCATCGTACTTGGCCTTCATCCTCTTCTGGGCGTCCTCGTCCACGCTGGGGTCCCCGATCCTGTTGAACAGCGAGGCCGCCTCCTCCAGCAGCCGGTCCAGGAGCACGGCCTGGCTGTCCACGTTGCTCAGCAGCACCTGGGCGTGGCTCAGCTGCCACTGCTTCTCCTTGAGGCCCAGCTGCATCTCCACGGGGGGCTCCAGCACCACCGTCATCTTCTGGAACCAGCGGTAGAACTCGTCTTGGGCCAGGAGGTATTCACTCCAGTGCAGCCACACCCACTCGATGCGGCTGCGGGCAGAGAGACCACGGCGCCCTGAGACCGCAGCGCCCTGGACAAGCCGCCAGCCTGTCTCCTGGCACTCGGGGTCTGCGGGAGGGGAACACGCTGACGCCCTCTCTGGGCCTTAGGGTCACCTGGGTGGCTCGCTGACACTGAGGATTCTGGGCCCTACCTGGGTCCTGCTGGACAAGACCCCCTGTCTGGGAGACAGAATTGTGGAGCGGGGGCAGGGGGCTAAGGATCAGGTGGCTCTGATTCCAGACCTGCTCCAGAACCACCAGCCTGGCGGATATAGCTTATGGAGCCTTAGCTACCAGCATCCCAAATCCTCGCCCCGTACTCCCACTGTCGGTGTGCAGGGGACCCCAGTCATGCCACTCCAGTGGCGGGGCTGGGCACAGGCACCCAGACTCTTACCACGGCATGCCCACTAACAGACACAAAGTGTGTCTGATAATTGCAGAAGACACCACTGTCTGTGGGCTCGTCACCACGCCATGGGGACGGCAGGCCGAGGGCCTGTGTGTGCGTTCAGGGGCTGCCATGAACTCGCTGCACAATCCTGCCTCCTCACTCGCCTCAGTTTCCCCATCTGTAACACCACATCAAGCCACTTTGGAATTCCACGTGAAAAGGCTTGAAAAGCAAAAGCACTGTGCGAAGCCCCCCAGCCCACTCACCACTCTGGGGGGGGGGGGTGGGCGCTGGCTGTTCCTGTTTACTGAGGGCCTACTGGGTGCCTCGCTCTTCACGTTGGCTATCTCCCCTTCCCTCCTCCTAGCAGCCTCCGTGGAACATTTGATTATACCCACTGTCTGGACGAGGCGCCCGAGGCTCGGAGAGGTCAAGTGACTTTCCCACGGCCGCACAGCAAGTAGGCGTCCGAGCAAGAGGCCCCCCTCAGTCTGATCCCTGCCCTGCCCCACCCCGCCTGGCCCCCGGGTGCAGGCAGGGCATCGGGGCTGCAGTGCTAGCCAGGACTGGGCCTTCCTCCCCCGGCCCTGGGGCCTCTCTTCCATCCCGCTGACGGACGTGCCCATGGCACGTCTACAGAGAATTAATTGTTGGCAAAACGAGATGGGCTCCCACTGTCTATTACCATCATTAAGCCTGATTATAATTAGAGAGAGGCGGGCCAAGCTGGCGGAAATCCCACGAGAACACCCTGTTCCCAGAAATCCCAGCACTGGAGAAGCGTGCCCTGGGCGGAGGGCCCAGGCCAGCGTGGTGGTTGGTGGTGGGCCGGCAGTGGCAGGGGCAGACAAAGGCCTGGCAAGGTCCCCAGCAGCCCTACCTGTGACAGTGGGTCATGTAGGTGACCGTCTCCTCCCACTGGGCCTTGATGTCCCTCAGCTGGGCCAGGATCTCGGGCTTCTGGTCCTCGGGGCAGCAGGCCAACAGCGCCTGGGCCGCCTGCAGCGCCAGGTCCACCTTCAGGCGCCCCTCCGGTTCCAGCCGGCATATTTTCTGTAGTGGGCACAGAAGCCAGTGTCGGGGGGTCAGAGTGCGGGCGGGCCAAGCAGCAGACAGTGCAGGATGGACAGTGCTGGGCCTCCCTTTCTCCCCCTGAGATAGTGATAACAACCGCTGCTCTGTCTACCTCATAGTGGGATAGTGTTAGTTTTTATAAATACCATTAATTAAAACACTGACATGAGTTAATGTAGCTTAGGAACGAGTGATCAGGTAGGCCCTCCCCCAGCCTGTGCGACAGGCAGTGGCCCCGATTCCCTTCTGTCCCTCTGTGTGAGGGCGGTGAGGGACGACGACGGTGATGACGAGAGATGGTTGGGAGGAACGTCCCCTGCCACCCGTCCTACCGAAGCGTGAAGCTGAGCGGGCGCCTCTCTAAGGCGGCCTCTGGGCTGTGAGTGGGCGGGGGGGCCAGAGCGGGTAGTGTGAGGATCGGGGAGATTCCCCAAGATAGGAGAAGGTGCTTTGCTTGGGTGTGGGGGGGTGGGCCAGGCAGTGGGAGGGGGCAGGGACACAGCTGCAGCGAGCACCCCGCAGAGACCCGAGTCCCACCCAGCATCCAGTGGCCACGTGGACGACAAAGGTGCCGTTGTGACTAGTATGGACCAAACGTCCAGAGGCCACCGTGGAATGCTCTAGACTGAGAAATGTTACCTACCCCCCGCCCAGCCCATTCCACACCACTCAGGAGCAGGGGTCCCACCACGAGGCTGAGGATGAGTTTGTTGTCCTCCAGTGAGATTTAACTGGATGAGAAATCGGAACAAGTAAGGGCCCGGTATTGCTGACACCGAGATGTGGGCCCGCTGCACGCCCACCGCTGGAGCCGGCAGGCAGGACGGGCACCACGGGCATCCTGGTTTTACAACCCCGGGCGCCAGGGGCCCACAGGAGCCCCGGGCGCTGCAGAACAACCCTCGGGGACAGTCTGAGGGCCTCCTTCCCACGTGCGGCCCAGTATACGCTCGGGCAGAATGCAGCGCCATAAAGCAGGGCAGCCAACAGCTTCCGAAAAGTTCGCTCTCTCCCTGCCACACCCACGAGGAGCCAGCCAGGCCTGGAAAGTCCCTGTGAGGACAACGGCCCTCCCCCAAGGCCCATCCTGCGCCCTCCTCCAGGCTCCTGGACTTTGCCCTCCTGATTCCTGGTCAGAGAGGCGCAGGCTGGACTGAGAGGCACAAAGACCATGACCCACTGCTCTCTGCTCTCTGCCCTCTGCAGGGGACAGAGTGCTGCTTCCCTGCCAAGGAGACAAGGCCTGGCCAGTCCCCAAGGCAGGTGGAGTGCCTGCCCCGAAACACCACGCCAGCGCCTGTGGCCGGGCTGGCAGAGCCAACTGCTGAGCTGCAGACCCCACCCCCCCTCGCCACTCCGGGGACCAGCCGCTGTGAAGCTCCTTTATGGCCCATCACACAGGCAGGGACACTGTCCAGGGCTGCGTGGCAGGGGACACCAGCTGGCTGGGAGGGCATCCGAGCGGCAGGGACAACACAGTGCCTTCTGTGGAGGAGCCGGTGAAGGCACCAGTCACGTGGTGGCCGGATGGAGAGCAGGGAGAAGCTCTCCTGGGGAGAAGCGGGAGACCAGGAATGCTGGAGGGATGGGGTTAGTCGGCGCTTCCCTCAAGGTCACTGAGATAGCGGGGCACAGCGCTGGGCGCTGTGCTGGACACTGGACTCCAGGGGGAGCAGGCACGGCCGGGTGCTTGCAGGCCGTGGTGGGGGCTGCAGACGGGAGCACAGGTGACCGTGGAAGAGCCACGAGACCACAGAGGGTGACTGGAGCTCCAAGGAGGGTTGTGGGGAAATCCCAGAAGGCTTCCTGAGGAGGCAGCACGGGCCCCGAGCCCAGGGAAGCACAGACATCTGAGATGGGGGCTGAGCAAACGGAAGCACAGCACATTTAGGGACAGCGAGGCCCCAGGAAATGCTGGCATGCCCCTGGCCACCGAGGGGACTGGAATCCAGTGAGGAGGCAGCCTAGCTGTGGCCGGTCCCCAGTGCGGGGCCAAGGAGGCTGAGAATCAGAGGACGAAGATCTGGGGGGACTGCTACTCAGGAGAGCAGCTCCCCAGGCTCGGCGCTCAGGGCAGGGACGGTCGGTGTGCCCGTGTCCTGCACCAGAGCCACCAGAAACCACCCCCTTCGTGGGGCCAGCTCTACCAGCATGCTGCCAAGCTCGCAGTTAAATTCCTCCCCTCCATCCTCCCTCCCTTTTGAGAGACGGGGGACTCTCCCCTCCCCTCGGAGGGAGAAGCTGAGTCTCCGGGGTTTGGGGTTTGGGGTTCGGAAGCCCTGGGGCCAAGGTGCCGCGGCCACAGCGGGGATTCAAGCCGGGGCTCTCGACCTCTGTGCAGCCTCCCCCCCCAGGGGGCTTCCGCCTCCTGAGGGTCCCGGTGCCTGGAGGGGTGAGGCAGTCCTTCCCTGTTTTACTGATGGAAGATGAGGTTGTGGGAGGGCTCGGACTCACTCCCGAGCACACAGCCTCGGAGCTGCATGGAAATCCGCACCCAGTCACTCGGGACCTGCGTCCCTGAGCTGACGGAGGAATGACGAGGGAGGCCCCAGACCCCAGGGCGAGGTCCCCGGACTGAGGAGGCAGAGGAGGCCCCAGCCGAAAGGAAGGCAATGTTTTCTCATCACAGAATTGCTTCTGAAAAGGCAAAGCGTGCAGAAACTAAGCGTGCCGAGCCCCATGAGGGGGTACCCCGGCTCCAGGTCAAGTTCATGGGGGCTCACGTGAGAGAAGTGCTCCCTCTGGTTTCCTGGGCCCACTCACCCTGGCCGAGTCCATGGCCCTCCCTGAGGACCCTCCCTGCCTTTGCCACGAGCCAGACCCACCGGCCAGGGTAACGACCCGCCCGCACAGGGTGCCCGCTCCGCAGGGATGCACACCCTAGGACAGCAAGCGCACACGCAGGGCGGTGGCGTTTCTGGACAGAGCACGCCAGCAGCTGGGCTGGGAGGGGGCCGGGAGAGACTCGTGGACCAGGGAGCGTCTCCTTTCACAGGCACACCCGGGCGCAGACAACAGGGCGTTCAAGTAGAGGTGGCAGCACAGAGGCTCAGCGGTAGGAAACCCAGGAGGTCTTCTGCCAACGGGAGGACCTACGTACTTGGGAGGTGGGGTTTTAGGGGTGGGGGCGGGGAGTGAGGCGGGGGACAGGGCTGTGCCAACACTGAAAAACTTCGGATGCCAGGTGTAGTTTGGCGCTTCTTTGGCGGGCCACGGGGAGCCACGGAAGGTTCTAGAGGAGCAGAGTGACATCATGAGACCCACTCTGCGGTGTTCCTCACGTGTGCTGGTGTGGCCGCCCAGACTGTGTGCACCCCTGTCCTCCGTTGCACCATGAACCCGAGAGCAGGGCGCACCTCGGTCGCCTCCAGCCCCGGTCCCCGCACGCGGACGGCCGGTGATGTTCTGAACCCAGCCCTGGGATCGAGTCTTCTCCAGATCAATTCCTTGAATTTCTGCCTGTCACTGTGTCTAGGGGTCCATTTCGCTATTGAAAAGTGGGGACGATAAAACCACACTCACAGGCTTTTGTGAAATGAAACAGGAAGCCGACAGCGGTGTTCGGGGAGTGCCAGCCCCCCTGTCCCTGGGTGGAACAATCGCTCCGATAGACACCTCCTTCCTACCAGGGAAGGGCCTGGGCTGCCGGCCCCGCCCCACCCTCAGGCCCCGCCCCTTCTGTGCCTGACCTCCCAGGCTTCCGGTCCACTGCCCTCTTACAGGACAGGGGTCCTGCTCCCTGGCTCGGTGTTTCAGGCTGTCACTCTCTGACCCCGCCCACCCCTCTAGCCTCATCCCCTGCTCCTGCCTGACAGTCAGTGTGGCCATAATGGCAGCCTTGGCAGGGCTCCCGGCATGTGCCCCAAGCTGTTCCCACTCCCAGGGTGCCTTCCTGACCCTGCTCCCTCTGCAGGGACCCACCCCTTCCCCCGCCCCCACATCCCCTAACCTAACTCCTCCCCATTGACGCCTCTGCAGCAAAGTCCAGGGGACCTGACCTTCTCCAGACGCCCGCCTGCCCTGGATTCTTCGCGCACTGCATCATCCAATTGGGAAGCCTCTGATTGGGTCACTCAAGCGGGGTCACCCCCTCCTTTCTGCCATGACAGTCAGTTTTGGCCAGGGCTCACACCAGCACGCCCAGCACACCAGGCATTGTTCATGGACAGACCCCCCCCCCCCACCAGTGTGTGGTCAGCTTGTGCAGGAGAAGGTAAGCCTCCTTAAAAGCAACCATTGCTAGGTGATAAATTATAATCGTGGAATATCCCAATGGATGTAGCCTGACAGACGTGCAAGCCAACTGCTTTGCTCACGGATGGGAAACTGAGGCCCAGAGATAGACGGGGTCTTGGCCAACGTCACACAGCCCTGGCGTCAGCACGGAGACTGTCACCCAGCTCTCTGTTAGCCCAGTGCTCTTTCCCATGATGACACTGGGCTGGGCACCGGGCACCTGGCACCTGCACTTCCGGTCAGTGCAGCTCCACATGTATCAAACCCTGCTCCGTGCCAGGTGGGGGGTGCACCTGGGCCCTGGCCCTGGAGAAGCCAAAGGGGTCACTCCTCGCTGGGCACAGGCCCATGAAGGCCGACCTGGGCCCACCCAGACCCGGCTGCAGGGAAGCAGGGAAGGGGGCAGGAGGCCGGGCCTGGGCCAGCTGGGCTGGGGACCCACCTGGCCGCACGGTGCCCCTGCCAGGACAGGGGGCCCAGAGGGTTAGTGTGAAAGTGTGGTCCGAGGACCGGGAGCAATGGTGTCACCTGGAGCACGCCATCAATGCCACATCTCGGGCCCGCCCTGACCTCCGGGATCAGAATCTGCACTTAATTCAGCATCCTCAGGAGATTCAAACACCTCAGAGTTTGAGGAGCACTGGTCCAGGCCAGAACCCTGAGGCCTGAGAGGGAGGGGCCCGGCCAAGGCCACGGGTCATCGGGGCCACTGCGCTGCGTACCTCGGTCTCCAGCAGCCTGGCCTCCAGGGCGGCACGGGGCCCCTGGGTGTCGTCGTTGGCCTGCAGCCGGTCCTGCACGGCCTTCATCCACTCCTGGGCGTCCTCCACGCTCCTGTCGAAGCCGTCCTGGGGCTGCTGAGTCATGGCACCTGCGGGGCTGAAGGCAGGACCACGTGAGACCAGGCAGAGGGGCAAGAGTGCCAGGGGCCCCAGGGCAGGCTGACGGGGCAGCCGGCGAGGGGGGTGGTGGCTGACACTGTCCAGCCCCGCCCCCTGTGCTTGGATGGGGCGACATAGTCAGGGGTGACTGTGTTTGTCAAAGGGCCAGACGACTGGAAACAGCAGGAGAGGAAGCCAGGTCAGGGCTCCTTGTGGCTGAGCTCCCCGACAGTGAGCCCAGCGGGCTAGGTTGGCGAAGGCTCTCTCTGGCCCCTCTGCTTTCCTGCTCCACGCTCACCCCACCCTGGGACGCAGCAGCACCTTCCCGTCCCTTTGGGTTGAAGCCCCTCCCAAAGAGGATCCTGAAACACAGCCTCACATTGGCTGATGGATAATGAATCTGATCTGAGTGAATCAAAAGCCTCATTCTAAGAAACACAATTTTTGGTACCAGCCGAGCTGACACCAGCCCCTGAAACTGGCCTGAAATTAACATCTCAGGCCGGGGGACAGCAGGTTAGCCAGCTGTCTGGTCTCCACTTGTCCGCCGACAGAGGGTCCACAGCAGACATCGCTTCCACCGAGCCTCGTACCACCTTCTCTAGGAGGCGGATGAGCATCAGCCAACTAAGTGCTTCAGAGGAGACCCCCTGGCTCTGCCAGCCGCAGGAGACCTGCCTGCTGGTGTAGGTCCCTCCACTGAAGCAGCAGCTCTCGGCCACCGGCCCAGTGCGCCCTCAGCCTCACCTCCCAGCTGTGCAGGCGAAGTCTCCAGCAGCCTCCTATCACTGCCTCTACCCCTCTGAGCCCGGGCAAAGCTCTCCCGTGGGCCAGTCCTCGTTGGTTTGTGGGAACTCTAAGCTACTTTGGATTAAAGTTATTTATATCCGCATCTTACGTGAAGGATTGTGTCTAGCTTATCCTCCCATCTCCCATGATGCCTTGCACAGAGTAAGCCCTCTGCAAATGTTGAAATAGCCTAGAATTGGTATAAAGTTTAACGCACCAAAAAAACACAACCACAAAACTAGAAACAATCCGAATGCCCAGTATTGGGCATTACTTAAGTAAATAAGCTACTACTGACACTTCAGAATATTCTGCATCCAACAAAAGTATGCTTAAAACGAATTTGTGATGGAGAATTCTCAGAATATAATGCTAATACCGAACAACGAGACAGAACTGTACATTTAGTTGTCACAACTCTACAACAAATAAAAGCAAACGGGAGCAACATCTATGCTCGTAGGAAAGGGTCCGAGGTCTGGCCATCACAGTGCTCGCGTGACTGAGCTGGAGGGAGGGGTGTGGCCAGAGGGACCCATGCCACGTCCCACGTGACTTCAGGCCTCTGTTTCGCTGGCACGGTGCCCCGGGAGGCCCCTTGGTTACGGACCATTGTCTGTGGTTGGTGGAACTGCAGTAGGAATTTTTCTGTTTCCTTGTTTTTCCTCTTCGGTCCTTGGTAAATTTTCCAGAAAGGGCAACCCTATCCTTTTTTTAAAAACAAACAAAAACAGCTCCTCACGTTGGCTGCATGGTTTGCTGGCGCTTTCTTCTCAGTCGCCCGTTGGTTGTGTGGCAAGAGCTGGGCGGGAGCCTGGGCACCCTCCCCCGGGGCCCTGCCTGGGCGGGCCATGCCATCAGACCCGCCTGGACAGACGCCCACCTCGAGGGGGGCGGGTGCCTCGGGGTGACCTTGGTCTGCGACCTGAGCCCACCCGCCCTTCGGAGCTCAGGCTCCCAGCGCGTTGTTTTCCTTTCAGAGCCGTTTCGACTTTTTTTCCTGACAATTTAATACGTGCCCCACAGCCACTCCCAGGGTTTGAATGCTTCGTTTGAAAAGCACATTAGAATGTGCAGGCGTTTAAATTGGTTCATTGTGGCTTTAATCTCTTGTCTAGTGTGTGACTTGATGGGCTTCCAAAAGCTCGGCCTTTGTTTTTATAAAGCAAGAAGGGGGGGGTGGGGGATGGGGCTCCTGGGTTTCAGAAGTGACCCAACACTTCGGGGAGGTTCTAATTACCGAAAGGCGGCGAGGGTCGGGACAACCCTCCCAGCTGGAAACACCCAGGGCCTGTGAGGCGGGGGGGTGTGGGGACCCCGAGGTACATGATTGGAACACAGGGGTCCAGTGGAGGCAGCGGGGCTCGAGGGCGCCTCGGACCCACGGGTCGGCCCCGGCTGGCAGACCGAACTAACCACGGGCCTGGTCTGCAGGTAGAGGCCGCAGGTAGAGTTTGGGAGACGGGACTTCTTTCTTGTCCGGTTCTGCCAAACCATTTCCTTCCAACCCAGCAACACACAGGATGAAGCACGCGCTCCCGGCTGACGCTGCGACCACGGCAGCACACGCAGGCGCCGCCCATGTGTCCTTTCGCCCCCTGGACGCCAGGCGCACGCTGAACACCAGCGGGGGCCGCAGGGGGCGGGGCTACGAGCCCGGCGGGCGGGGGGGGGGGCTGGTTTCGGTGGAGGGGGATGGGTACTCTTAACTTTTACTGTGGACGCCTCAGAATAAAGGCTTGAAATGCCGAGAATAAAATGCAAAGGAAGGCAGAGGAAACCGATCACATGAAAACACAGTTACCAAAATATTGAAAATCGAGTTCACAAGACCCCCACCCACACGCGTCCTTATTAACACATTAAGCCACAAGATCTAACAACCGGCCTACTCATTTTGGGAACAGTGATGGGCACACGTGACATTTCAGGGAACCTGCAACTGCAAGGCCACACAGAAACACGTGACGCAGCCACCGCGCCCGCAACGCCCGAGTGCGCTGCGTCTCAGTTTTCTCCCTTGCGTCACTGGAGGAACTGCTAACAGTTCAAGGTTAGAAGCAGTAGGGATGTAGCTAGTTTCCCATCCAAGTTCATGGGCCCCTACCTCCTACCACGGTGCCCTCCCAGGGACCCGGATGAGAACCTTGCTCCAAGCCTCCTAACAGCCAATCAAAAGGCCGGCTTCATTATGCAAATTTAGAAGGTGAAACTAACAGGAGCTGCTCCCGAAACACCCGCCCACAATCTCAGTGAGGCCCAGGGAGACACTCCTCCCGAGGTTCCTTCCTGGGACCCGCGGGGGAGCTCTGTAGGTGCCTGAGGGTTAGGGGGCAAGGGAAGGCCTCAGGGAGAGAGAACATCCGTGGCCCGGTGAGTCCAGGGGTGCCGGACCCTCCATCAAAGAGAGGAGAGCCAGAGCCTTCTCTGATGGGAGAAGGAGCGGGTCCTCTATGAATGCAACTCAGCTTCTGGCCCTCTCCCCAGGCTCCGCGGGGCGGCAGCCAGACGGGGCTCTCTAAAACACGGATCCAGCTGGCCACAGCCCTGCCTCTGTGACCTGTGGCAGTGTGGTCTGCAGATGGGCCCCAGACCCCAGCTCGACCCTCTTTCCAGCCCCACGGTCCCCTCTAATCTAAGGCAGACCGGGGCACCCTCCATGGGAGATGGTCCAGCGCAGGGGGCGGGGGTGCTTTTGCATCAGCAGAGGGCTGCGCTTTTTTTCTTAAGAGTCAGATAGCAAATATTTTTTAATTTTTTCAGGCTACATACAGTCTCTGTTGCATATTTTTCTTTGATTTTACAGCCCTTTAAAAAGGTAAGAACCATTCTACATTCCCAGGCTGCTCCCCAAAGGTGGCCCATGGCCTAGAGCTTGCCGCCCTCGCTGTGGATGGTCAAGGCCATGTCCAGCAGCTGCAGGGAGCCACAGTGGCCAGCAGGCAAAACTAGCTGGCTCTGTGACCCCCAGGCATATGTCCTACGGAAGGGCAGGTGTTGAGGCCAGAAGGACCTAGAGTTGGTCCTGGTGGTCCTGGCCCCACCACTGTGGCAAAAAGAAAAAAACAAGTTGTGCTCAGTGTTAAAAAAAAAAGAAAAAAGAAAAAGCTATTTCCACTTCCAAGTCCCAGAAGCAGCCCTGGGTGTGGCTGCGAGTGTATTAATGGGCTGTCCCTGAAGAGTCTGTCAGGGCGGGGCAGGAGGCCGCAGCCTTTCCTGGTTCAGGCTGGCGTCGGTCTCGCGGCAGAGACAGAAAGGAAACGGCCTTGGTTTCAGCACCTGCACAGCCATCACAGAGCACAACCAGGGGGGAAATGACTTGACTTTGCCTCGATGCCAGACAAGTGGTGGGTCGGGGCAGACGGTCATGCAGTCGAGACAGGGCACATGCCCCAGGGAAACCTGGGTCACAGGCCATCGGCCTTCCAGACTGACACGTCCCCAGAAGGTGGGCAGGGCCCATGGGTGCAGCTGGGGTCACGGCTTCCCCAGGGGTGGACGGTGAAGGTATACTTTGGGGGAGGCTGAGAAGCTTCCAGAACCTGAGTTCTGGGCCTGAGTCATTGCCTCAAAGGGGGAGAGTTTAATTCAAGACCCAGGCAGGGGAGGCCCAGGGTGAGTGAGGTGGTGGAACTGTCATAAAAAAAAGTGTGTGGCGGACGGGAAGGTGCTGGGGAAGGTGACACGGACTTAAGCCAAAGGGCCAGCCAGGGCGAGAAGGGCGCTGACGTCTCCGCGGCGGGGCACTGCCCACACGGCGCCGGCACTTGGCGACAAGCCGGCCCCGGCATCTCCGGTGGGAGAGGCGGGTCATGGTGGCACAGGAGGCGGCAAAGGGGACGCAGTGGGGCTGGGCAGAGCAGGTGGGGGCATGGGTGGGGGGTGGGGAGGGGCCTTCCTCTCCGAATGCTGTGGGCACCCATGGGGCGCCTGCTCCAGGACGGGGGGCCCAGCGGCCAGGCCGCCATCCCCTGCCCCGACCACAGACAAGAACGCCGGGACTGGAGTGAGTGGCAGGGGACACGCAGCCATCATGGCGGCACTGAGGTCTGAGCCTGGTTCTGTCGGGTGCCAAAGCCCGTGTTTGTCCCACTCACCACAGGGGCTCCAAACCCAAGTTCAACTCTGCCACCTGCCAGGGCGCCGGGAAGACCTGCGAGGACAAGGTCAGAGTCCCAGCAGGCTGAGGGGATCCGCTCTGAGTCCAGC